AGATCGGAAGTCGACACGATTCTAAATCCTTATCAACAAGAAGGGAAAAGAGAAAGAAAGGAAAGATGTAACGAAAGAGTCTATCCGTGTTAACGAAAGATTAAAAATGTTCCATTCTGTCGTTTGTCTGGCGGTGTCGCGAAAATCGATTTCGGCTGGCGCTCGATTCAGGAAACGCGACCATTGTCCTGTCCCGTGCGCGATTTCGGCTTGAATTACGCGCTGCTTCAATTTCATTGAACGCCGATCGCGTTGGTAAATCGGATAATCAACGGCCGATGAAACAGCTAACGTGACGAGCGATCGACAACACGATAGCACTGGTAATAGGAGTAACTTTATCTCTCTTCACGGCATTTTGTTTCGAACTTGTCCACGGTCCACTCGGAATGACCTGTAAACCGATGACAAACTCGAAAGGTACAATGTGATCTCTTATATTACGCACTATGCCACTAGGTTTTCGCTACAAAGTTCAAATCCACGTCATTCGCAATTATGTTCGCTGTCTAGAGCTATTGCGTGGCTCGCGAATAAATTACGCAGCTTGGTAGAGGTATGGGTATTGTGGTATGGCGGTTGTTGAAGGGATCGACAGACTATGAGCTAGTAATTATTTGATTTTTATTAATTTAATAGTTATTAAAATTTGTAATTTTTACTATGTTTATTAGACGACATATGCATTTGTGGTTCTCTGGATTTCGATCGTGCTTTTAATAGTTATCTTTGTTCCAATGTTTCGAGAACTTTTTAATTTAAAGCTTGTTCTGATGAAGTGAATACATATTCCAATTTTACGTCTGTCCTGAAGAGGTGAATATTCCAGTTTCAGGTCTGCCACGAACAAGCGAAGTACAGTAGAGCCTCCCTTATCCGATCTAATAGGGAGACAAAACGAATAAAACAAAATAGAATTTTCAGATAATAGAACTGCCACTTTTCTGATACAAAATTTCATTTATTCGAATACCAATTAAGATCGATAGTTTCTTGAAATATTTATTCCCATATCTTTCTAGCTGCTAAATCACATAATTATTTCAACATGAGTAACTGTGTAGAGTCACAATCTTTCTGTACTTCGAAACATCGAAGCCTTTTTCTGAATACTTTGCCAATGCTTCGACATGAGAAGACACTCCATTAATACTTTCGTTTGCTCTTTCCATTTGTGTAAAATCGTTGTTATTAGTCGCCTCTATTGCAATGGAAACATCATTCGTTACATCGGTATATAAGGTTTTTCTAATGTTACCAGTACCTGAGACATCTACACGCTTTAGATAATTTTCAATATCATATTTTTTAATGTTTGTGATTATCGCTTTTTCAACATCGTGTACTTTCGCTAATTCTATCGTACTTACACCACTTTCGAGCTTTTTAATTATGTCGTATTTTCTTTCGTATAATAGAACGCTATTAGTTTCATACTAAGTTCTTATAATCAGAATCCACTCGATAAAATAAAGAAAAGAATACATTGTATATGAACACCAGTAAAAATGTGCACTTTTAAAACAGAGAAAGCATCTGTTATTGGAAATATTATATTCGGATAACAAAGTGTTCGAATAAGAGAACGTTCGGATATTAAGGTATTCGGATAATAGGCGTCCGGATAATGACTACTGTATTGATTTTTCTAAAAATTTAGAATAATAAACGATAGAAAAGGAAACATAAGCTAATTATCCCGTTGTTTTGAATGTAAAACATCGACGGGTTGACAAGGATCTTTCATATGAATTATTTTTTAACGGTATAGTGGACACGATCTTAATTATTTTAAATAAAACGCACTGTATTACAGGCAATAATTAATAAAACTCAGCGACCGGATAAATATGTTGAATTGATTTTGCTATATTTATTACATTTTCATTATAACCAGTTCTGTGTAAAATTCCCAGAATATTTGCTTCTAAAGAAATAATCGAATACCTGGAAAAGTATATAATGACATTGTTGCGGCAATAATCAAGCAATTGCGATGAATTACACTGAAAATAATGCTTGTGTTTAATGCAGATACAAAAATTATTAGGAATTCAAATGAATCGCTTAAATTTCACTTCTTGTCATATCTCTACGATTTTAATATCATGATATACATATAGAATAAAATAGTTACGTATTTAACTTGTCCCATCGTTTTATTCCTGTACTTCAAATTTTCTCTCGCCAATAATAAATTGATAAATTATCATTAGTGTCATTCGATATTAATCTTTAATGTTTTTAAATGTCACTTTTTTCGGGTAACTTTAACGAACCATTGGTAACGATAGTTAGAAGATCAGTGTCTTCGTAATCGCATTGTATTCAGGAATCAAACGCCAGTCATTGCCTTCCTGTCTACAAACTGACGTTAAACACGTTCACGTTATATACGACTGCATCCGTTGACAGTAAACACAGAAAGGATCGATATCTGTTGCACGATGCACGGGTACCTTTGAAAGGAACACGAGACTTCATCGATATCGCAATGACAGTGACGCTTCATCGTTGTTAAAGCTGCGTCTCGCTGAAGAGCGAGAATCTCTTTGAGATACGAGACAAAGTGAAAGGAAAATAGAGAGGAAATTACTAGAACTATGCGGCGCTTTTTGAAGATCGCAGATTTATATTTTTCACCTATACATATTTTTCCACGAATATTTAATACAGAATCTCTGCCTCTTTCCTCCTTACAGATAGTTTAGTTTAATTTTTATTGCAAAATTATTAGGTCGTCCGAAAGGTTTCTTTCATTTTATAAGGAAATAATGGATGCACAACATTTTCCGTTTTATATTATTTTATTGAATCACGTACGATCCATTTTGTTCTATCAAACTAAAGATCACAATGTTCGAACATTCTAGGACCGTACATTTATCAACTAAATGCACGAAACATGTGTAATGATTAGCATGAACTATGGTATAAACTATAAACTTTTCCATAGTGTAATAAAATGTTAAAAGAACAAAAATCCTTATTTTAAAAGAGATTTGGTAATTTATATATTTCTGATAATTCTAGGATAGCCAATTTTAGATTTACCCTTTCACAAGCAACGTTTAGTTTTAGAACACATGAAAAAATTATTAGCTACGAAACTGCTAATTTTATGTCTCGTGCCAGAAGTTAATTCGTAAAGAAAGCCACATGTACTATCATTAAGAATGTTATTATTTTATGTTAACTGTGTAGCTACGGTGAAAGATGTAATATAACTAATAACTTTTTAGAATAGAAAGCATTGTTGTTGTAAGCAGAAACTATCTCCTTCGTATGTAGGCGCGGGACTATGTAGTTTAATTAGCTTAATTAATGTTGGTACGTACAATAGAATAAGAAGCTCATCTCAGATTAAATAATCTGCTCGAGCTGTAACTTTATATAAAGAAGTATCGTATAAGATATGCAAGAGCAAGTAGCGCAAAGGTAAAATTTATCCAAAATCAATAGTACATCTTATGTATGGTATCAAGCCATCGAGATAAGCTTCATAAAAGAACATGTTTGCTTAGAAGGTTTACGTATCTTCTCTCTTAGGAAGCAAACTACGCTAACTGAACCGAAGCATTCCATGGTTAGATAATCTGCTTCGCCATTATTCAAAATAAGACGCTCCGCGCAACTTGAATAGAAACAATACGGAAATATTCACTGATACTTATTGTTCACAAACAACGCGATTATTGTATATGTTCTCTCTACAACTTATCGGAAAAAAATAAATGAACGAATAAAAGAGAAACATTTGTAATATGTAGAAAGAAGAATATATGATTTCTGACCCCGAGCATGACTGATGCAGAAATAGATCGCTGTATGGACTCATGCATGAAATAATAAATCGTGAACGTGTCACACTATTACAATGCATTGTCAATAATAAAAAAGTTGATAGAAAAATGTATGCATAGACAAATTTTTTGTCAAACCAGTATAATCAACCTTCCACTGGAATCAAAATCATAAGACCCAAATTGTGGTTGAATAATCCAGTATTCTCTCTCTATTCTTTCTACTACTCTCTTTTATGATACGTTAAACCTGGACACTGTAACACTTAATGCTGCTTTTTCACGACGACATCCAGTTCCATCGATCATGTCGGTTGTTATCTCCCGTGATAAGACTGCAATAGCACACACGTACAAGGCTTTCTTTAAAAAAAAAAAAAAAAAAACGCTCATTGCCTACAACTTCTTTTTACAAAAATTACGCCATAACATTGATAATACCGTAAACGTAACAGCTGAACCGTAATGACGCTGAAGCTAATCTAATTATTCTGGGGTGAGTTCTCGTAGATACATGCTTAACTACCTAGATTGGATAACAATACTTATCGTTATACTTACACACTAACTAGCGCTAAATTCACTCTTGCATAAGTTGTACCCTGTGTGCAGCGTTCCTTATTCGAATACAATTAACGGTTTACTGCTACAGATCTCCAATTTTTATAGTCTAGTCTCACTCTTGTTTTATTAATCAAAAAGACTATTGTAGTATCAAAAAATAAAAGAAAAAAAATCAACTTTGTGACAAAAGCGAAATCTAAATTCACGCGTATTAGGAAAGATTCTTTTATGAAAAGCCGCATGTTACTGTAACGAAATAACTACATATATTTACGTATCGTCTCTTCTTGACAGATTGTAAATACAAAAGTGCAATAAAGCAAATATTAGCAAATTATATAAAGCAATATTAAGCAAAAATTAAAGAAGGAGAATTTTTTTAGCAACAGCAGGATACTATTAAACCAAAAATGGACCGAAAACCGCAGTGCAGTAATACATACCAGCTCTCTATCGCTCTTTCTACCCTTTCTGGCTGTTTGCATTCGTACAGAAGGACGCACGACGAAATCTGTGCGCAGACAAACGATGCAACCGCTATATCTGATCGTCGACGCGTTTTAACGCGTCATTATCGTACGGCCATTGATACACACATATATACCTTTATGTATCTTTCGATTGTTTTAACAGCGCTATCCGGTTGACCGGTCCATTCGTTACCATGGTCTACAGTATGATAACCGGTGACATGTTGACCTTCGGGATAATCTACATGGTGGTGCTGTTCGGATTTTGCCAGTCGTTCTACTTTTTGTACAAAGGCTTCCCGGGAGTGAAATCATCCCTCTACAGTTCCTATCACTCGACCTGGATGGCACTGTTTCAGATAACCCTCGGCGATTATAACGTAAGCCTCCCCCGTTCCCTATAAATCAGCGTTTTATTGTCGCGGTTATTTCTACTATCGTCGTATGTATTCACGTGCACACATGTTTGCTAGGATGCACGCCTATTCTTTATCTCCGTTTTTTACTTCTGCCCTTTCATAACTATGAACACACCGTATTTTGAACGAGGTTTTGAACGAAATGCTCGTTGCGGACTAAGGCCATCACCCGCTTAATAACACAGCATGTAACAGAGCAATGTATTTACATTATTCTTGTGTATCGTTCATTTATGCCAGAACGAAGCAAAGAAGGTTTTATGAAATCAAATCAAGAAGTAGAAAGTTTGAAGAGGAGAATTATTAATTACTTAATCATTTGGCAGTGAACAAACTTCGTTCTTTTATAATTTAGCTAACAGTTTTTGAATTTTGAGAGGATCTGATAAAACATCGTTTATGTACGTTGCTTACTATACAGATCAGGATTGAGAGTGTTATATGCGATAACGAGATTGTTAAATATTAAATTTTATTTCAATCATTTTATTTTATTATCGCAGAATTGCGATATTCTTATAAATGATAAATTTACGAGGAAAATAGAAATAGACGAAGTTTTACTATTTTTCATACGTAATATGTATGTTATACGTTATTATTATCTATTTATTTGTTTAGTGTCGCAGCGGCTTATTAGCTACTAGCAACCACACACTATTACGTTACCAGTGACGTTGTAAAGACATATTTACTGAACTTACATTACTACTTCCTACTAACTAAATGGATTCGCAATCAGTACGAGCAATAGCACAAGTATTTATACAGAGTTGAAACGAATTAGAACATACATTGTACGTTATATTGGTGTAATATGATCGTCACGGCTTGTAAATTGAATTTCTATTTAATAATCACTTTAGCGACATTGACTACTGAAAACGAAATACACGTTATTGTTCTTTCCCGTTTACATGTTCGATTTTATTGCATCCTCAATAATGATTCAGTACCTTTCTTCTTATTCCATCGAACATTCTCTGAGCCTTAGTAAACATAACTTTTAAATATTTCCTTTGCCGAAATGGTACTTCCAAAAAATAACTGGAAGTTAAAATAACCAATGATTCCAGAATCGAAAAAGTCTTACATTCTTTTCCGTCATCATACGAATTATAGTTCGAGATCATGTTTATTTCTTTACAATATTTCCTCCAATACGCGTAAAGGAAACTATTGACGTTTGAAAGGAGTGAAAGGAAATTTTGAAACATTTGCAACCTTTCTTTTTTAAGGTTGTGCGGATTATTACGTGCTCTATGTACATATGTACATAAATTCAGTCGCGGCATTTTCAATAGGAGGAAAAAGTTGAATGTTGAGAAGGATCGGGCAATTTGATAAATAGTGTCTGCATGTCAATGGAGAGCATAACTTCCAGCGGTGTTTCCAGCATAGCTTTTTTCGTAGCGGTTACCGTGGAAGGGTTAAGAATTTAAACGTTGCTCGTAAATCAGTTTCAATCAGAGATACTTGGCATTCCTGTTTTTCTGATTAAACGTTGGCCCGTTTCGGATTACAAGAAACCGTCACGTTGTTAGAGCGACAGAATCTTCTGTTCTTCTTATTTTTTCAAAGTAATTCGCTTGATTTATTGTCCGAATCGTTCGTACGAGTTTAATAACATCCAGTATAATTTATAGGAATACATTAAGTCGGTGTAAAAATATTATTAAAAGTATTATTGGTTAGCATAATAATCACTTAACTATTACGTTATCATATTTTCGCGTTATTATTCTTTATAGTTATATTTATCTTAGTGTACTATTACCTCGTATTATTAATGTTGCTGTTTTTATATAAAATAATAAAATAAATGATTGGTTCTTGTTAATGATTTAATGCTTGATTGTTAAGGAGTATAATAGGTGAAAGGTGATTAGGACATAATGGTTAGTTAATGATTACCTTATTGTTATTCCGTGTTGTTATTAATTTGTAATTATATTTATTTTAGTATATCATTGTTTCGTATTATTAGCAATGATGCTTCTATATAAAATAATAATAAAATACTAATAATTCACGAGAATCTAGTAAAAAATATCTTACAAAGTTTTACAAAGCTACAGTTAAGATTTACTTAAAATTTACCAATTACTAAAATCTAATTTTCTATGATATGAAAGGAAATTATATGGAATCATTGAAATTTCGTCGCTAATGAAAATGAAAAATGAAGTATCTTCAGTTCGAATTTCAAAGTTTCACTACTTTTTATTTAAGATAACAAGTAACTTATTTTCTTTCTTCGCGATCATCCTGTAAATGTATTCCAATCCACCAAACTGCTGCAACAAAATGGATTATCAAAGAATTCTTGTTTCCATGTTATTCGTTGAAGATAAAAAGAGGATGAGGAGATTTGGAAAAAAAGATAAATAAAAGAATAATTCTTTGATACCAACGGTACAACAATACTATGAAAGAACTATTCTTCCGGTTTCAGGAAAATTCAATTTCCAAGTAACAGGGGTTCTCAGTATGAACGGTATCGTTTCGACTTGAATCGATGTACAGTGATTCACGAAAGTATTCGAATGTTTATCACCGAATTTTTCTACGAGTGTATTATTTGCATTATACGAAACTTGTTGAAATTTCGATAGCACTGCAACGAAACGCAACTATCTTGAAACCAGCGAAAGTACTGAAACCACTGGAATAGGTTTGAAAATGTATTTTACATTTAGTGAGTAATTATTATACAGCATGAATAGTAGCTTTAAAGATACAATATAGCGAATACTTGATTATTCAATTACTTTGGTGATCTTTGCGAAGTTACGCTTTCAATGAGTATCTTGTAACTGCCACATACATTTCCAAATCTGTTTCATATTTTACCAATATAATCGCGATAGTTGTGTCTCGTTACAGTACCAATGAGATTTCAAAATGTTTTATATAACGCGCATGATATATTTATTTAAAAAAGACCAACGATAGCGGACATATCAAGTTGATAATAGATTAGGTATTTTTTAATTCAAAGCCTCGCAAATGTTTGGAAAATGCAATAAAAAAGTTAATCGAGAGATCGTAGGGGTTCGCTAAAAATGATGACAAAGTACACAATGATCAACGATAAATGTAATTATTATTATTACAGGCTTAAAGTTAACGTCAAAAAGCGACACGGCCTATGTCACGGCCATAAAAAGTTTTCAGTAGCGCTCAAATACTTTCGTAAGCCACTGTACCATAAACAAGAATAGGAAAAAAAGTCGTCATTTCGCAGTTGAGAATATTCAACGCGGAAAACTCATTTTTAATGTAACATTCGCGCTATGCGCAATTCCCGGGCACGTGTAAAAGGGGAAAAAGAGGGGGTGAAGAGAAACACTCGCTCGTTCGGCAATCGATAGATCGCGAGTTGCAAGCCGGCACGCGCGTTGGGAAAAATTGGCTCGCCTCGCGGCGTGGTTTCCTGCGTTTCAATTAATCGAATTTCACCGATGAAATATCAAGACAATTCGCAACGCGCGCTCACTGTATCCGTGGCTAATTGAATTACATTCAACGACCGGCCCCGGACCTGCTAGAAAATAACGCGCCACGCCGCGTTTCCCCGAGATCTCGTATATCTTTCGCGTAATTAACGAATCGATTATGCTGTCGGGCGACGAAAGGGAGGGAATTTATTCCCTGTGAAACATTTGCTTAGAATCGTTGGTCTACGGAAAACGATCTATCGGCAGATTATCAAATTTGAAAAACCGATGCCTAGATAAAAATTGGCAAACTTTCCGAGTGAAAAAAAATGTCCGTGAAGATTCGAATTCAATGTACGTTTTGTAGAGGGAAAATTGGAATTTACGTATTTTAGGGAAGTTTAATACGAATTTAAATCGGAATTTGATTTTTTACTTCAGCTTTTAAGCAAGAAATTTGAAAACATTTAAAGCCCGTACTCACCGTCTACTTGTTTTATGTTGTTTATCGTAAAACGTGTTATTATATCCGCATCAACATTTTCATAGCTTTAATGTCTAGAGAGATATTGTCCTACGAGCCTCAAACTGATCAATTCCATTTTTTAGAAATATACCAATTTCACATTATCCAGGTACAAAACTAGTATTCGATGTCTCAAACAAGAATTTCATTTTCGTAAACGTATTTGTCGTAAGAAGATTGCATAAATAATTGTCAATTCGAAGGAAAATTTCCAGAGATAAAGTTTGTAATAGTCATTCTTCTATGCATTTTAATTTACCGACTTAATCAGCATAGCTTCCGACCAACTCATACAGAGAAAGGTTATCGAATTTGCGCCACTTAAACATCTTGCGATGCAAACTTTTAACGAAATACAGTTACACTTCGATCTTTGTTACAGCGATTACTTTATAATCCGCGAATAAAATTTCTCTAATGGTAAGTGTAAATTTACGGCAAAGCCGACCTTTTTCCACCTCATAGAACGCTACGGTACGCATTAATTTTGAATTTCAATTACGAATTGTCTGCGCGAATAACGTTACATTTTTCGGTCTATTTCATCAGTTTCCCTATGTTGTATATTCTTTCCTTTTATTTTTTGCCTTAAAAAGACAAACGAATAAAAGTTTGCGCCACGCCAGCACCAGCACCACATAAATAGCTTTATAAAGCGTAGAATGTCCGCTAAAAATCGTTGCTCGGTTTTACGGTTCGTCTAGCGATTCGTCGAAACACGTCGAATTAAACACGCGAAGCAGCAGAAGAATCGGCTGGATTCCCGCTGGTAAATCCATGGCCGTGCACTTTTGCTTGCGACACGATCATTTTTATCGATCCGCTGCCCGCGATTCCGGATCGTTCGAGCGTGTTGGAGACGATACTGATAACGAGGCGAAACGATTGTCCGTTTCAGTATACGGACCTCGGCTACACAACCTACCCTAATTTATCGAAGATGGTGTTCGCCATATTTATGGTCCTGGTGCCCATACTGCTGTTGAATATGCTGATTGCGATGATGGGCAACACTTACGCGCATGTGATCGAGCAGAGCGAGAAGGAATGGGTGAAGCAAGTAAATATTTGTACAGCGACATAATTAATTGATGATTTCATAGATTAACGTGTCCTATTGTTTGCTATCCCTTGGGTTCTGTATATCATACGTTTGCGTCGATCTGCAGGTCTACAGATAGAATTAAGTGTCATACACGTGTATTTGAATGTCGTTGAAGTATGATTAAATATAGTTATGTAAATTTTTAAAAAATTTATATATATATGTGATAAAATTGATATATCGATGAAATAGTCATATTATAATCGTAGTATAATACACGTGTAACGAAGAATTTGGTAAAGGTCTTATTTTCAATGGCTATCACTTTTAACATATATTATTTTTAATTTAAGAATTAATTAAGAAATTGAGCTAAAATGTCAGAAAATTTTAGAAGCAGTCCATTATAGAGCGTTTAACTGGTTGCAGTGGGCGAAAATCGTGGTTTCTCTGGAGCGTGCAGTCGCGCAGAAAGATGCGCAGAATTATTTGCAAGAATACAGTATTAAACTGGGACCTGGAGATGACCCGAACAACCCCGCCTCGGAACAGCGCGGAGTCCTGATTATTAAAAGTAAATCGAAAACCAAGGCGAAGCAACGCAAAGGCGCGGTGGCTAATTGGAAGGTGACGTGTTTTCCTCTGTTGTTTCATTTTTTTTTTTTTTAATAGGTTTTAACGTCGCATCAACTACAAATATGTGATTATCAACGACGATAACGAGTACTAAAAATATTATGGGTGTTAGATTTTGTTACACATATAACATAGCGCTTTTTAAACAGGAAGAAACCTGCTGAGTTGAGATCCATGTTCAAACCAATGTTCAAACCTATGTTTCTCCTCGTTTTATAGCCATCAGCTTTGTGCTTTAACAAATATTTTTAATGGATTTTTGTACAGTAACGAATCGATTTAAAGGGTTCGGATACGCTTCGTTTTAAGCGACTAGAATAACAAGAATAACCGGAGTAGCGTTATGAATTTTTATCAGCTGTATTTCTTGCACGATCTTTTCTTTATCTCGATATTACAGTATTTCCAAGAAATTAGAATAAACGTATTAATTTAATTTGCATTCTCTTTCTCTCTTCTTTTAAAAACTAATTCCTTTTACACCTTATTGTTTTTAATTTAACTTCGATATTACAGGATTTTTTAATGAAATTAAAATAGAAGTATAAATGCAGTTTGCCTTATCTTCCTCTTTTCTCGTAGAATTTCTACACCGAAATTTTTTAATCTCGTTACTCTTAATTTAACTCCTTATGTTTAATGCTTCTGCTTACAGCGCGTAGGCAAAGTGACGATAAACGAATTGAAGAAACGTGGTATAACAGGAGAGGCGTTGCGACGAGTCATGTGGGGCCGAGCATCTTTCTCCACTCCTGTTAGAACGAGGTAATATCAAGTCGCGTTCGTTATAGGGCAAAGGAAGTGATAAATGTAACATCGAGATCGTTAATTGATTCGTTAACGGGGGCCCACGTGGCGTCTGAAACCATGTAAATTGTCTAGGCTTAATGGAACGCGATACAATTGACCTTGCACTTGTGAAAGTTAATATGCAAGGCATCAAGGTTACGAAATCCGATATTAACGTCAGTAAATGCGGTGCATTCGATATTGATAACATGAGGGGCATGACACGTGATTCGACAAACTATTATCTCCAAGGACACGATATTGGTCGACCATAATGCTTGATAGTGTCATCATTCTGAATACTCCTGTCATGGTATCACACGCTGAAGGCACTGGAATTTCTACCAATTTGTGCTAACGAATCTAGTATAATATTATTCGAGATAATATTTGGAGTTCAAGGCCTAAGAGACTAAATCCTGAGGATTGTAGCTGATCAGCTATATAAGACGATCTACTTAACTTTATCACCTAGAATATTTTGCTTGTTTTTGATAATATCAAGGAATATTTCAGGATACAAGTCGAATAGTTTCGAGGAGAGCATCATTTGGCATGATTAGTTTATTCAGTGGATGAACGCGTAAATGATATATGATGGTTAGCGTTGTTTCTTTAAGTGAAATCATATAATTTAATAAATTAATCGATCCATTGCGACATTTTTGATAAAAAAGTGCTAACGTATTTCTATAACCTGTAGTCGGAAAACTATTAGTTCAGTAGATATTTTAGCTTTAATTTGTCAAATTTAAGGTATGAAAGGCAAAGATAACGAAAACACTGGAATACCATTTCGCGCTTTCCCTTTGCCTCTCATACGTCAAATTTGACAAATTATAGTTAAAATATCTACTAAATTAAAGTATATACGAATAGGTAATAAACAGATTAACACTTTTTTTTGTAGAGACACGCTAAGAGAATAATACATGCTAATATATTAAAATATATATGATTCCGATTTAGAAAATATCGATATTCCTGTACGCGTTCACATATGAAAAATGCTAATTATGTGAAATTACGTTGCTCTCTAAACCATTCAAGTTGTACCTGGAACATATTTTAATATTATCAAAAACAATTTTTCAACCAATACAGTTAGTTGAACAACCTTATACACGTGACTTGTTTCGAAAGCATTGAGTAGACTACGGATATTTATTATACAGCTTCATAATTCTATAAAGATAATTAAAAAAGGAGTGGAACCTAGATAGAAAATTGTTTGTTCTATTACATTGGATATTTCATATATATTTCCTTATTATTCGTACTCTGCATTTTTCCATCTTTAAATTTAACATAAATTCATTTTGCAAAATTTTAGAAAAGTTTAAATTCGCACAGAATTCCGTGGTCTAATCATAATGGTACGGTATTGTATATGTTTGTTGGTTAGTAAATATTAATATGCTCATATTGTATAAGTATGCCATATTTTTTCATTGGTTCTATAATTCGGGCATTACCGATAAAAATTTACGCGAGTTTGATAGCATTCGATATCAGACAACTGATATTAAGAACGTCTGCATCTGACTTCAATTTTAATGGCACCTCATTGCGGTTGATTTTAATAAATGTCAAAGAGTAGAAATTAGCTTGAGAGTAGCAGAGCTTTCCACCAAACCTTACTTATCAAGATATTTTATTTAGGTCGGCATTTGTACTCGATGCTCGAACTTTTAAAACGACGAGACTCGTAAATGATCAGACGGAACGACATCAGATGATTTTAATGCTCGAAAGTCTTTAAACGTTAAAGCTTGAGCGCTCGAAACTTTACGCGTATATTTTACACAATAAATATTACGAGTTATAACATTAAAATAAGGTGGATATTAAAATTCTTTTTTACAATCAATATTGACGTATTTTGTAAAATATTCACATATACAGAATTCATGCATATTCTATTCAATTCCAATTTTTCATCGCTATTTCTAACTTAAATATTCGGCGAAATTTGGAACGCAGTTCATGAATTTCCAAAATATCGTATTCGGTCTCGTTCGAATTTCACTTTTATGCAGTAAATCGCATTGATATTCGGCTATCATAGTGTTGGAGAGATTGTTGAACATATTTGTTTACGATAGAGTTAACGAACCGATTGCCTTATATCGCGTTAAAAAACATTCATTAGTTTATTTACTAAATCCGTATGAACTTCCTGCGTAGTAGACGACAAACTAAATAATGTAATCAAATTTTTTACGTATGAAGAATGTTCAGACACATATACCATGTTACTCTTTATGTGTTGTTTACGCGCTTTAGTAAATCGCTAGAACAAGTTTTATATCACTAACCGACGTCGTAGAAATAACGCTCGATGTATCAGCGTCGTTGTTGACTTCACTGATATCAAACATCGCTGATGCAAATGAGATGCGAAGAAAAAAGAAAAGCAAGGAAAAACGGGTCTCGAAATAGGCAAATTATTAAAGTAAACTGTAAATTATATTTAAATTATTAGGTTGCCTGAAAAGTGTCTTTCTTTCGTAAACGTGTTTTTTTACAACAGTGCACCTTCATAGAAACGTGAAATCAAGTCTGAAATGTCGCGATGTTTATCTCAACAGAACAAAATGGATCGTACGTAATTCGACAAAATAATATGAGGTGTAAGTGTTGTCCGTGGTAATTGTAACTGCTGGCTGTAGATGTCGCTGCTGGGGTACTGCTGTTTTTCTTCTAATTTAAGAATCGTGGAAGAAAAATCGGACTCTGGCCACCGGGATTTGAATCCGGGTCCCGAACGTTCGCAACCTAAGGCTCCAACCACTGCGCTGCCATTGTCCGGTTCTAGTTAATGTTGAGCGGTGTTATTTTGCTGTCGAGTGCCGTCACAAATATAAAACAAGAAACGTTGTGCGTCTATTATTTCCTCATAAAACGAAAGAAACTTCTCGGACAACCTAATAAATTATAAAGTCCCCAGTAGCAGATGCTATTTGAATAATACCGAAGGAGAGATAATCAATTTCTGCGCAGTCCAAACACTGCCGAGCCTCAAGTTTCAGCGGTTACGGCCGGTTTTGGAGACGCATTGACTGCAGCGCTGGATGTGATGGCGTTCGCCCACGATCTCGACTTGTCTACTGCTACGGAAGGAATTCCGACCAACATCGGCGCGAAGCAGTCGAAATCGAAGACCGCCTGCAAGGATCAAGCGAAATCGGCGACGAATAATCAGGAGAAAGGGTCGACGGACGTTCAGCAACAACGGAAACTAACCACGGAAAATCTGGATAATCTGGCGAGCAGTCATAATGATATTGACAAAACATCCAGCGAATTTGTGGCCGTTCGCGAGATGAATTCGAAGAACGCGAGTCGTAAGTAAAGTTATTGTATTAATTAAAAAGGAATTTTATGAAAAACTATGAAGAATAGTAGTTAATACTGTACGCTGGGTATTTCATGTTCTTAACATTTTAATATAAAGTGATAACATAGAATAATAATAATGATGTGCGAATATTCTGATATTTCTATTTTAATTTTTATATTTTTAATATTTTAACATAGAATAATAATAAGACGAATAATATAAGAATATTTTATGACTTAGGAAAAACGGTGAAATTTTAAATAGCATTGTTAACCTCTTACGAGGTAAAAGCTTGTTTTAATCTCTTGAGTATTCGTTAAAATACAACCCCTTTACATTCACGAACAGGAAATATCGCTAAATATAACAATACAATGTTTTAATAAAAATTTTACCAACTTTTTATTTTACGATATATACAACTGAATATTGTTTTGTGTAAAAATGGAGTTAAAATTCAATATCGTTAATCCTATAGCATCCACGGGCGAGATGTTTTGTGAACCGATTTTTACAGACATCGCGCAAGATATTTCGTTTATAAATGAAAAAGGTTTTTTTTCAAAAAAAAAAGTATAGAGATATTGAAAGTTGCAAACAATTCGATAAAAAAAAGAACATTATTCACAATGGGCACAATATAGCGATTTCTATCTCGACAATTTGTTGAACCAATCCTAATCTGTAATTCAACGAAAATTAAAATATTTCCTTTCCTTTTGAAAATGTGCGACAATAAAATTGTTTATTTTGATTTTTCTTTCAAACGATGCACTCCGTCAATTATAAACAATTTCATTTCTTTATAGTTTAAAAAGGAATGCAGGACGAATTATTCTTCTTTCTTTGACTGTCTCTACGTGTTCTTCAATTTGTTTATTAAAATTTGATATATCTCCTACATATAATCCAAATTTTGTGAGTTGTTCCGAAGCTCTATAGTAATGGCAATCGAATCAAACTTATGAATGTGCATGAATTTTTATTAGCTGCATATAGGTTTTTACTTGTCGGATAAATTTCGATAACAAAACCAAGTTCCAACTTCGATGTTATCCGTTAGAAAGTAATATCGGGGCATGAAATAATTGGTAATTATTAAGTACAAATTATTTGATATTGAATTAAATTTCGAATTTCAGAACGTACATATATAACTGAACAGACCAAAGTAGAAATATAAATGTTGCAGCTTTTCGCGTTATTAGGAAATCTCACGAGTTTGCTAAGTAGAAGTCGATTAAATCTTGCGGATTCTTCGCTGGATGTCTCTTTTATGTCTGCATAATGATCCATGTATTTTAAAACCGAACACTTGTCATTCAACAGCACCTTAAATTCAAAAGCTTGCAGTTTCGATCTTAATCACGATAATTTGGTTATTAAAGCGTAAATGAAACGAGAGACTTTATTGATTAACCTGAAAAGTAGTGCAACAAGCATTGGATAATTTATGGCCTTTCATCCGTTAAGCATATGATTATCATAAATTAGCAAAGTTGTAACCTAATTTCCTTCGTTAATCAAATATTGTAATCCTTCAGTATTCTTCAGCGATTACTACAATATTATACCTCCTTCCTTTAATTATCACTTCTGTTTCGAGGTTTCCATTAACAAAGAACATTATCAATTCATTAATTGTCACCTTCGGTTTCTTCAAGTTTTTATACAACTCTACGTACATTTTTATTGCTTTTTACTCGATATAATCAAACTGTGCCAACTCTACAAGATTAAACTAGATTGTAACCATTATATGTTATATATTACATGTATTGTATGTATAATGTGTAATGTAAAAAATTTAATATACGTGTGTATTTTATATCTTCTCCCAAAAAAGATAGGAGCATTACGAAAAAATAATATTTGTATTTATTTAAAGAATTATTTTTGCATATAACAACGTAGCTACTTTGATATTTACAACCATACAGACTTTTCTGTTCAAGTTTACTTTAATCCACAATTCTCTCAAATTGCAGATATTGTTACTCGTATTATTTTCTTACGAGTTCGCTAATTAGGTAAATATCAATGAAACCATAAATGTAGATTTGATTAACGTTTCGAACAGAAATATTTCAAATATTTTTCAGCGGCCTCCGACGTTTCCGCCTTTCTTGTTTCCGGCGTCCTTGATCTCGTTTCCGCTCATGAGCAACAAAACAAAATGCCGCTGTTTCAGGCATCGCTGCACAACAAGCATTTCCCATTTTTGGCCTGAAAATAATTCACATTCGTCAGGATTTAACGCAGCTTGGCCAACTTTTATTATGCAGCTTGCTGTGCGCAGGACGTTAATAAAACTTGAAAACGAGCTTGCGCATTGAAATAATGAAAACTGGTCTATTTGCGGCAAACAGAAGTCTGCATGGACGCAGAAATTGTAATTTTTAACAACATCAATTTTTAAACAAGTAAATTTAAAAATAAAGATAACGACATAGACAACGAATTTCTTTTTTCAAGAGAAAGATTCCTTTTTCTCTTTTCTCTTTTTCGATAGAAAGATCAGCAACAATTGATATGTTGCTTTCATTCGTATATGTATACGGTTTCTTTTTGTCGGATATAGATCGTGAAATGTAAAAAATTAAGTTTATTCAAAAGTTTCTTTTCGTGGATTTGAAATTTGTATCTTCGTTGTTATTTCTGCTCATACGCATTTTGGTGAACGATGTTTGTTTCGACCACTCGCGGTAAGACGCGATCGCGAGGAAGCTCGTCAACGGGAGTCGTAAATTTCCGTTACGATTAGATCGACGCCACGAAATGATCGATCCCCTATTTCGATTAGGATAATAGAGGTAGTTAAATTAAATATGACACTGATATAACGAGTTATAAATCACAGCTTATTCCAACAACTTTGTAAAGAAGATAGTTACGCTGGTGCGTATGTATAAGATAAGTAAGTGACTGATCTAAGAGTGTAAACCCGGTCAAAAGGATGTTGACTGTTTGAAAGATGGAAAATCAGTAAAGTTCGGTGACGATGCTGTGGCGGAGGAAAGCTAAGGATGGGTGTGTCTAGCGCACGGGACTATCGGATTTGTTGATGACAATTTTGGCTAGGAGAATGAGGGAAATAGGCTTCGTTGTTAATTAGTTGTTTGCTATGGTGGTGGGTGAGGAAGGATGCTAACCGCCCTCGAGATAAAGTTGCTAATGGGAGGTCTCATACGTGAGAAAAGGCAACTTTTCCGTGTCAACCCGTGGTGAACAATAAACTTTAGGAAACAATTCAGTGAAAGAATATCTATTCGGTCTGAAGGACCTTAACTAGAAAATTCCTAAGATTTATGGAGAGTACTTGAGACTATTGAGGGTACGCAGTAAGGATCAGAAGATATCTGACTGCAATCTTGCCCGCGATGTGTGGCCTGGTTTAGGTAGAGTGTCGCCCGACGTAATAATGTTTATACATTGTTTAGAATTGTTTGAATTTGAATGAAATAATTTTCTATATTTCTGAGAAACTGCAATTTCTTTGAACGAAACAGTGCTGGATTGAAACGTTTTGTTCAAAACAATTAACAAATTACGGTCTTCAGAAATGTTTCTACATGATGGAAATCCGTTTGCATTTGTTTAAAATTAATTTTTTAGTTACTTGTTAAGCAGCTAATTAGTGTTAATACTTCTTTTAATCGTTTTTTAAACTGTCTGGAATCAGGTACTTATTTTACGTTTGTTGTTTAATACATTAACTTGATAAAGTTTCAAGGAAAATAATAGTGTAGTAACAGTAAACAAATATCGATAATCAAGCGTAATGTATAATATGTATAAGAATGTAACAATTTTATCCATATTTTCAATGCATTTAATTTTACTTCAGCAAAAATGGAACTATGTCCAAAAGAAATAAAAATTGCTACAGCATAAAATCGAGTTCAGTAAAAATGGAGCTGTTGAAATTTTCTCTTTGTAATAATCGCAAACGAAAAGATTTTTCGTTTTTATCCAGAGATACGTCAACTTACACAATATTCGAGCAGTGTTTAAAGAAGAATATATCAATGTTATTAATATTATTTATAGATATAATAGACTTCGCAAAACGATGAATATTAAAAAAAGAAACTCAAAATATACATATTTATCCTAGATTCGAGCATGGCCGAGGATTTTCAGGATCCGCTTTTGGAGCTTGTGATTGCTTCCGAAAATACGGACGATCCTGAAACGCTGCTGAAAATAGCGGAGCGGGCCGCAGCGAATTTCGAAGTGGAGAGCAGTTCGAAAATAAATCTGCAAATTTTGGAGCAATTCACGATGACTAAGCTACCTATGGAGGAGAAAGTTGCCGCTACAAAGAAGCAGTACTTTGTTGAATCGAGTGACAACGATTTTGGTGGTAATGACGAACTACTTTCCGTAAAATATTTCTTTGATATTCTAAGAATTAATCAATGGCATGGTCGCACACTAATTGCCTATTACTAAACGCGCCACCGATTGCATTAAGTGTAATTGTTAGTAGGCGAATTTGAATGAATCATCTCTGTACATTTGCGTCTTACATAATTTAATCTGCAAGCATCTCATCAAATCGAATTTTATTTTTGCTTTATTCCGAGCAACGAAACGAATAATACCAGAGAATTATTACAAACCATCAACATTTTAAATTTATGTTTAATATTTAACATGCATTTATACGCGTATAATCAAAGTATTAAAAAGCGAAGCGATCTCTCAACGATAATTTTACAATGAAGATATTAAAGAATAAAACCAGCAATGGCCGTGTGGCCGTAAATTTTGCTGGAGAGTGTTAAGCGCCACGCGAATTTCATGAAAATTGATTGTCTTATTGCAGGCGACAACCTACTCGGAACCGAGGCCCGTCTACGTAGAATAAGATCAGCGAACAACAGATTTATCACGACACGGAGACGGTCGCGGCACACCGATGACGACCTGTCATCTACGTCGTCCACATCCGCCGACAGAAATCCTCAATATCAGCCATTGCTCAACGGCCCTGAGAACTTGGCGAGCCGTCAAATCGAAAGTCGAGAGAGCTCTATCGAAGCAATTAAGCCGCAAGTAAAGCAGAACGGGTCATGCGATTCAGTGAAGATCAAGGTTCAGAAGCGTCGACCGAAAACGGCGAAAAATAGGTAGCTAATTCATAATGAAACTCTTTTAAATCATTGATAGAATTAAACTTTAATTATGGAATTAAGGATTAACGTAGTTTAATAGCTATGCAACGTAAAAAGGTGAAAATATTTTTGAATAATTTACATCCCCAAATCAAAGTCTGTATTTCTATAGAGTATAAAAAAGTTAAATAGATAAGAAGAGGGACGAAAGGGGATGTTTTTCTAGGGACGACATATCAGTAAGATTAAAGTACTGTTATTTGATTTTAATTAGTATTGTTAGGATTATCCGATTATAAGTTTCTCCCTATATTTACCTGTCCTATCTTCTATTTGTTAGAAAAAGTCTACTTTAGCCTTTAACTACGGACCACTTAACTGTTAGAAGAGTCTGTATTTTCGTTTCATTAGTACAATCTAGCAAAGGAGCTTAAAAAATTCAACATTTGAGTACTTTTAACCGTAAAAAATCTATATCAATGAATATATATATAGTTATAGATTAAAATATCGATATTAGAGTAATATTATATTATTGTAGCTAAAGGTTAATCTAATTATTCGACGTAATTGATAAAAACCTGAGATTCGTATCAAAATTACTATTAAGAGCATCAATTTCGCAGAGCTTGCCTTACTTCCTCAATTAAGGTGGTTCATTACGAAAAATCTATACTTACCAGAAAGCAATATTAACGTTTGATATTTCAACGCCGTCGTCATTTTCCTCGATCGTCAATCCCATTACCCGTATCCAATTTGAATCTCCCGTAACGCGAGCGTCATCGGGCATCTAACAAAGCCATACACACGTAACAAAACAATTATCACTTAAAGAACTGCTAAATGGAAATCCGTGGTACGGCCGAACTGACTTCTTTGGACTTTAATGAAATTTCATCGAGCCGCCGCGTGAACGCCCGTCAGAGAAACGATAGTATAGAAAATACACAATTTCCTGGCCCGGCCTCGAAAAGTAATTACAACATAATGGCCGAGTTACAACGTTTCGTGGCATTCGTGTTAAGTCACGGCTCGGATGTATGTACAGCCACGCATACGTATACCGGACAAAGGTATATAGAATCAGGCTGAAAACACTAGAAGCACTGGACAACACTATCAACAATCGATCGTGTGTCGACATACCGGAACACGAGGAACACGCAATATTGGAACATAGATTTCCTATTTAGATTTGTCGAATGTTTCCTTTCACCATTTTCCGTCCGAAGTCGGAAAACAGACAGGTTCGCTTCCGCGTATAAAACACGTACTCATGGATGAAATTAAGAATGGGTTTCGATTGTTTTGCATCGGTGAAATTATACATGGTTCGTTGTAATTGCGTAGATCGTAGATGATATAACTGAGAAAGGAATAATACCGCAGTATCGCTCAAAGGTATGTGGATGCTTGCTTACTTTTAAAGCAATTGAATAATTTCGTTATAGAATTACACAGAAAAAGATCCAGATTAATTTTACTCTTTATTATCAGACTGTGGATTTTTATACACTTTTATACTTTTACGAATAGAACTAAAGAAATGAAATTTAAATAGGAATTTGTTTCATCTCTCGAGTATTATAACAAATACTTTATTTTGTGTATTTTATATATTTTTATGTGTTATATACACCATCAAATTTCCCATAAATACATAGAAATCCGCATTCTAGTGATAAAGAATAGAATCGATCTGGATCTTTTTCCGCGTAATTTTATAACGAAATTATTTGATTCTATCAAAAGTAAGCAAGCGTTTATATACTTTTAAGCGATATTGTGCTATTATTCCCTTTATTCATTATTATAGCTGTATCTCGTAGCATGTTACGACATGATAAAATTTGTTTCTACATAATCTGCGGAAGATCGACATCTGTAAAGTTTTTCTTTCCTTCCAAGAAAACATGTATTTCCGTTGTTACTCCTCATCGAAACACGGAATTATTCTTTTATCATAAAGAATCGGTTTTCTGTTAATTTTATTAAGAATTTAAACGAACATTCCTTTAAGGTGCACAATTTTTCATTGTTCAATTTCCAAGTAATCGTGTTTCAGAACAAAGAGAGCACAGCGAACGAGTCACTCGAAACTATAGACTCAGAGCTGTGATTAATCGTCACAATGAAATCATTGTGTGTTACTCAGATTGCACAGTGCTCGTTGTTACCTCGTGAATAGAATAATACAAGACGTTTTGTTCCAACGTTAGAATAAATCTTACGCATCTGCAGCAGAAGTTTGCCACGCGAGGTATCTATTCATCGAAACATTCTTCTTTGCGGATTATCTGCAAGGTAACCGCTGGAATTTTATGGGCGTGGCAGGATAGAAAATAAATTTCAACGATTATTATTTTCAACCTATCGTATTTTCCTTTATGGACTGAATGAATTAGACACGAAAGACAGTAATCATTTTGTTTCTGAAAATTTAAAAGTTAACCATACTAGTGTAATACAAAAGTGTCGTTGAACTGAAGAAAATTTATAGGAAGTATAGAATCTATCGATTCAGCTTGTGAGCGCTATAAATATGTCATTGCAGTTTGAATGTAATTAAATATAATTGTTGCTATAATTATTCTCAATTTGGAAGAATTTTCTTTATCTTATATCTATCCCTTGACGAGTGAGCATTATTGAGGATAATGAACTCCTGAAATAACAAAATTGCTTTGTAAAATTTTTCTCCGAAGATGATTAAATCGTAATTGATATTTTCCTTTAAAAAAAAGATAACGAATTTAATACTCTAACGTTTTGAAATAATCTATTATTACTAATTATAACTTTATATGAATTTGTTTATAAATTATAGTTGTTTATAAATTATAGAAATAATCCTATGAAACGCGACAGATACATTTTCCGCGTTATACCATACGCGTGAAAATATTTTTCTAAACAAAAAGTCGAGAAGAGCGTTACAGCCCAAAAACTAGACTCCAGAGCTAGAATGTATTAAGTCTATTTTTTTTCAAAAATAACATTTTATATGTTTCCCGCGTCAAAGTCTTCGCTCTTTCCGATAGTAAAAATTTTCTCATCCTAAACTTTTCGTTTCTATCACGTTACACGATGCATTTGTCGCTCTCTACGACTACTAATTCTGCCACTGTTTCGTCACGTTATATAGTTTACATATTTCGTTTCTTAGTTCAAAAATTTCTTACAACTTTTCATTCTGATCGACGTTGATTCGCATGAGTCGCATCACTCGTTCCATCATCGACTTGTCACACGATTTTTATCCGAGATCCTAAAGCAACCAATGGGACGTGGATAACGAAATGATGAATAGCTATCCGAAACAAGTAATGTAAATTACCGTGCGCGAATTTCAAAATTTTCCGCACCGATATGTAATACAGGAGGCGTCTGTTACCGATACAGTTAGTTTCGGTGAAACGTCAACGTCCTCTGTAATTATTCCACGGAACTCGATGCTGCGATAAATTATTAATCACTCGTTAATAATTCTTCTTCAAACGAACGCCACGGGACAACGAAATCGGATCACGACGTATGCACCCGTTCGATAAACAGTATTGGGAATCACGCGAGCGCGATATTGCTCGTGAAAGAAGGGATTTAAACGCGGAACGATCGGTGATATCGACGATTACCAAAGGCAAATTGAAAGTATAGCTTTATTAGGCGGGATAAACGCGGAGTGCGAGTCGTTTCCAGAGCAAATTGAGATTATGCGATAAAAAGGCGACAACGGAAGCGAATTCGTAAATATTGTCATAATGAATTGCTTATTTATCCGATCGGATTATATTGTTTAATTGATTTCTTCCATATTGGTGTATGCAGGGACGTAGTAATAAAAAGTGGGAGGATATTATTTCCGACAAAAAGTATGAATGTTTAATTTCATTTTATATGACAAGCTCTTATCTCGATCATTTCAAAATCAGAGAAACATCGGAACAAATGCACAAGAGGCGAAGTATTGATCACAGTCAACGTCGTTGTTTCTATTATTTCTCGAATCAGCTAAATATGCAATATCGATTTGGAAGTAGAATTGAATAAATTCGAACAAAAGCATTACACGTACACAACGCAATATCCAAAGAATCATTCATTTTTATAACAGCCATTCTTTCACCAGATATGAACGACATTCAGGGCTGTTATGCTATTGGAATGCGTAGTCATTCTCGAATTCCAATTTTGTCGCGCTTTGATGTAAATTATTTTTCGAAATATTTAAATATACGCGCTTATCCATGGTTCTATCGACGAAGATAAATTTCCAACGCCGTTATCAGCCACGTACTTAACTCCAAATTATTACGCTTCTACCCAGAGCCGCATTTGCCATAAGGCGCATTAGGAGCAAGGTGGGGCCTCGCTCTCTACGTGGCCACATCTTAAAACTTAACTCGGCAACCTAATTAGACCTTGTAACGCCGTTGTTCCTAGGGCTTCTTAGAAGTATACATATGGTCTTGCTTCTACTTCCATCATTCAGTTCCAACGTCCTTTATATAAAATTCAACCCGTAGAAAGAAAACAAGTAAAAAAAGAAATAAGAGAAAACGGAAAGAAAAAAGAGACGAAGACGAAAAGAATAAGAAAATCCTATCTTACCAAGACCTTTCGAATCGCAAGTTCGAAAGAACCCATTCCTCCAATCCCGATCGGAGGCAATGTTCGCGGCGTTAGTGTCCGTGAGCACAGGAAACGATTGACCGTTCGTTTAATGGTTTCTGTTCGGCACGATGCATGCACAGGGTATCACCGAAGGAAATAGAGGAGGCTGGTCCGAGGAGAAGAGAATCGATCGAGCGGAATAAGGCGGTTTCGCCGGCGACGTCGCCTACTGATCCGCTCGAACCATGGAGCACACGCGGCATTAAGGACATGAACACGATATTGGCTTGGGAGGAGAATACGCCGGACAGTCCTTAACGAAACTTTACGATATTATGCGCCGTGTACCTCCGGCTGACCGTTCGATCGACAAAATGGCATCAATGGTTTTTGCCCTGGCAGCAAGTTGCGACGCGTCAAGTACTTGGAAGCTCGAGATCGCTCGAAAGCCAAACCGAGATTCAAGCGATATAGAGAATTCTTGAAGGATTCGATGGTAACGTTGAGGAAGTATCGAGAGAAAAAGGGAAAACACAGTCGCTACAAACGGTATTTGTATGCCCATCAAACAAACTCTTATCGCAAGATATAGTTTCTGTTATTTAAATAGCTTCTCACATTTCACTTTCACAGTATCAATGTTATTTGCAGTATTGAGTTTGTAGCTGCCGACTATAGGTATTGGAATACTTATTGATATTTGGTGTAGAATGCTATTCACTGCTTTTGTCCTTTAGTTATTTTATTGCTAACCAGTCATTTCGTCCGCAACGTATATGTATTTCTTGTAATGTAAAATATTAAGTAGGAAATGAAATTTGTTAGATTTTTCGAATAAATGTAACCAGTAGGTGTTCCAATATTTATGGTTGGTTATATGAAAGTATTACTAAATCGGACGAAATTTGAAATACTTGGACCCAATTAATAGGTATGTAAATGCCCAAATAAATACAACGATGTACAAATGCTTTTTTGTAGCCACTGTATATTGCCAGTTCGAAGCATATATACATGTAATGTATATAAATACGTACAAGTTTGTTTTTCGCTCAAACTATCTGGGTACAACGCGAAGTGATGTTATTTCGTGTTATGTCTGTCGTTATTAGGCATTTTACATCTTATTTCAGCGAAACGCAATTTGTCTTACATCGAGTATTGTGTGTAACATATTTCTGTTGAGAAAGACAAAGTGAAAGTTGACAAGAATCTTTTTGATTTCAATTGTTCGAAATGAATTTTATAGAACTTTTGAAAGTTGTTTTAACTTCGTATCGCAAAAGTAAATTGTGATTGAGTTTCGTTAGAGATGTTAGAGAGATTCAGAAACAAACTTGCAGTAATTAACGAATGAAAAAGATATAGGTTTTTATTCGAAAAAGTGGTTCAAACGTTAAAATTGTAACGTCGTCAGATCAAGTTCATTTATGTATTTAAGGAACAATAGGATTAAAAATTTAATAAGATTGTCGTCCTTGTACGCGGATGATACAAGGAGCGTTTTTGCCATTCATTTAGTTCGTTAGTTAAATCTCTATAAATGAATAACAAACGTATCAAATGTTCATCCAAGAACACTATAATCCGATTACAAGGAGTACGAAAATACGAAGATGCTAGGCGAAAAAGCGTTTATTCCTTTTGTAGCGTACCAACATTGACTAATACCATAAAGGACAATGACGTAATGATAAAATCAACAAATAGCAATTTCTTTCTGCAAAAGGATTAATTCTTCGCATTTGTGATCGCAGAAAAAAATCAAAGAACTAAAATTCTTGCTGACGAACGCCATTCGTTTGATCAGATGTTGCTCATTAAACTGTTCTTTGATATGAAAGCATATATATCTCGATAAAGAAACAACAGCAATGAAAAATAAAACTCTAGATATTTTGAAACAAAGTTTTGAAAATTACTTAATTAAAAGCTTTTATAGAAATATTGTATAATAAAATATATATAGTAATTTGAAGCATAGTTTGGGTATCTACGAATAAACGTTCAGTTTTTGATAGATCAATTTTAATTAAAGATATTGCTCTAGCATATCGATTATTGAAGTTCAAGAAAGTTCAAGTTGAAGAAACAAACGTATCATGATATCAAGTAATTTGGCATTTAAGTAGTATCTAAGTAATTTTTAAATTAAATAAAAAAATATGAAGGAATTTAATAAAAAATATTGCACGTGCCAAAAAAGAAAAAGCAATATAAATCTTATAACAGTACGCCCTATTTGAAAAATGATCGGAATACTTACACGGGGCTATACAGTTGTAAATATTTTAGGACATTTTGTAGAGTAAGATTCAAATAGCGTTATGTATAAACGATTTTTGCATTAGATCAATTTTCCAGTAGATCAATTTTAAATAAAAATCATTCTAAGATTATTCGTATGGCCATTTCCTAGCGTAGGGATAAGGAAGAGATGATTAAGGTTTATACATACGAAAAGTAATGTGAATTTTGATCCATTAAGAAATTTCTTTTGTGTTTACTCTCAAGTTAAAATTCGATAGAAATTCTAATTTTACGTTCAAAAATTCTATTTTAATTTATAATTTGTTATTATTACTGATATGGATCTAAATTATTAATTTTGCTCCCGTTTTTCCCACGTTCGATTTTGAAAGTTTATCATGCACATAACGCTGCACTCACCACTCTTCTATAACTCATCTTTATATTTATTCCAAGCAGAGTGTTATTAAAATACTTAAGAAAAGTTTCCTATTATTTATAGGAATGAAAGATGTATTGTGCAAACTTTCCTTCTTCAGAGTTACGGTCTTCGAAAACCACATGCAAAGTTACATCGACTTCTTCGTTTAATGATCCAAATGTAATCGAGCTCTTATAACAATGAAAAAAGAAATACGAAACCGTACAATCGCAAATGTTTTTCCTTGGAATTGGAATTTGGAATTTTGAAGTTGCACACAAAACGGTATATTTGTACGGAAGAAAGAAGCGTAGGAAGGAAAGTTACAATTATCGGAAAATATAGGAAAGAATTTAAATTATTGTAACAGAAATTATCATGACAAAGTTAACAGTGCAAGAGAGTAGAAGTTATACGTACAAGCTAATATAGTATACAAGATGTACCGCAGATACGTTTGATACGTAAAAATAGGGAAATTGGAACATATTTCTCAGAAATCTGATGTCTAGAGATACGACAGAGGAAAGCGAAATCGAAGCACACGGTTTCCAATATTAACAGCAACGGCAAACTGTTATAAATGTGTCTTTAACAATACTAGAACTATTTCTGTAGCAATAACGCGGAGCGTGGAACAATTATCTTTTTTACGTACATATTTAAAATAAAATATTATATTACGTATCCGGTGTATTATTTTTCCTCCATATTTTATTTACTTTTTATAACTGAGTAATATGTAGAATTGGGAAATGTATCGTACTTATATTGTATAAAGCCTCAGTTCGTGGTATATTGAGAAGTTCGTTTAAATATGTTTCGCGCGTGCTTGGTAATTTTGGAAATATTTGCAATATTTTTAGGTGACAGGATGTGCCTACTTCTACAATACTCCATTTATCGACACGATATTTTAGTTAGCGCCCCGATTAACTGGATTTTCGCTGATTGTAGCGGGGGAATAGGTAAACTCCTAAATAAACTAAAATAAACTTAAATAAACTACAATCATATATGTCGCATATTGCTAATAGGCAATGCATATTATTACGCGCAAACGCGTTGATGCGTGCCGGATACGGAGCCTGGCATCAAGAGGTTAATTCGGTTTATCATCGGCCTCAAGGTATCCAGTACGCTTTAGTTAAAAATCTGATGCGCACGAGTGACATTCGTAGGATAACTTCGAGAACCAATTTAACCAATTAATGGAAAAAATCATGCAGTGCATTTTTTCCATTAACCAAAATCAAATCTCTTTCGTTGATTTTGGGTATCACTTACATTCTAAATACATTTGCACACTTAAATTTACCATGAATAAGCATTAAATAAATGTGCGTAGTTATATTACTGCTAGCATAGACGTTTATTAAATTAATCGACTATTTCAACTACAGTGGTCAACTACATTATTGTAATTTAATCGCTCGTATCTTAGGTCCGTAATTATTCTATCGTTTTCTACGATCTCGTCCAATGTTATTCCAAAGCTATTCTTAAATCTAGAGCTGAAGTTCTTTTCTTATCGAAACAACAATCGTTTTACTTTTGAAGTCTTTCAAATAATTATACACATGTTAGCGTATACAAAGAAGTTCACACGTCATTTCCGACGGAAAGTAATCTTGTTTGCATTTGAAAGTGTGCATACGGATGTTATTAGAACGCAAATGTAACCGCATGCGCTGGGCTTAACGCAGCTGCGTATACAAGCGGTCGATGTTTCAAGTTGAAACATTCAACACTAAAGAAAGTCCGTGAATTAAGAGCTTACAAGGCTTAGGTACGAGAAATGGAGGCCTCTTAGGTGCCTGATTGCAATAGCATGCAAGAGAAATTAGTCCTCTTATCGGTGCAATTTCATTAATAAACTACGTCACTGCCCTATTTTTAACGCGTCTAGAGATCAACGCGGTTGTGTATCCCGAAGCGACGCGTGGAATTATCGTGCGTTTGATACATATGTAAAAAGAAAAGAGAGGACAGAATCTCGAGGATCTTATGCATATCTCTCGTGTGAAAACGATGTATACGCGAGAAATATACTAGTAGAGGTGAAAAAGTAAATTATTTCCAACCTGTTCTTATTTCATTATTAATTATTCTTTCTTGAATTATTCATTATTTGATGTGTGTATAACTTTTTTTATTTAGCCAAAGTAACCCAGATAATAAATAATAAATGTATGTTTGTTATAGTTTTAATATGCGACGAGGGAAAAATTTTGTGCACCGTTCGTGTAATGTTGGGATCGTTATTATCTATATTATCAGCTTTCCTATCAGTCACATTGGTTTTATAAATGTGTATTCGTGATTTGTACTCTCTTTTAAAATATTTAACAATATATAGTCTTCGCCAAATTAATATATAAGTATAATAGTCTTTTTAATATTATTTCGATTCTTACTAAGGAGCGCGAAATTCGAATTTTTGTTTCTTAAAAATAAAGATGGAATTAATTTCAATGCCGCTTGAAAGGTACACTAATAGCTAGACCGTAAATTTTTATTTTATGCGAGAAATTTCAAAATGTACAAATCCGTACAACAGAAAAATATACAAATTGTCCAAAGTAGAGTACTTTCAGTTACGATTTCTATTAGATTAAATTGGAATCTCTATTTGAATTTTACATATGGCTTTAGCTATGTCCATAAAAATGTATGTACATTTGATAGCTATAACGAATCAAACTTCAACAGCTTGAAGATAAAAATAGGTACCACGGTATAACATTCGACAAACTTAACACACTGCTTCTTTTTTATTCCTTTCCTCCCCGATTTTCTCGCGAATCTAAGAACTACCGATATAAAATTTTGGTTGGTCGTTTCTTCTCCAAGCGTTCTTTTGTGGCTTGGGCCATTGCCATTCCAACAAGACCATGAACGAGAGGGAAGAAAAAGGCCAGCGATATACGAAGGCTCGCTGACTCGGAAAACTTTCCGTCTCCCGCGCGTATTGAAACAGTAATGATATGGGAAGAAGTCGGTGGGATAACGAAATGAAAACACGTGCTGAACATCCGAAAATCGTCCAACTTGTCGGTAAGTTGCGTCGGTGCCGTTTACGCGTTATAGCGCTTCCGCCTGGGGAACGATATAGACACTGTGTGCCGGAACTTTTACCATATGGTCGAAATAAAAATCAACCGAGGGATAATTAGCTGTGTAAATAGTCGCAAATACGCAACTTCGTTACTGGACTTTTTGTACATGGTTGACACGTTGACTGCCACGGTGTACATCAGTGACAAAAGTTTTATTAAATTTAGAATGATTGAATTAAGATAAATTTCCGTGGATCGAAAAATTGTCAGCAATGTGAAAATTGAGAAAAACTGCGCAATATAATATTGTATTATTATATGATATAATATTTGCGAAAAATAAATGTTATGACGTAGTATATTTCAATCTATTGCGGCTCCACTGATAAACATAAACTTCGCGTGTAATATGTATATATACAATAAAAATACATGAACTTTTTGAAGGAAATTCACAAACCATCCTTTATAAGTGGGAGATACATAGATAAACACGTGAATCGAGAGGGAAAACTTAATGTTATAAGATTTCAATCTTCTATAAAAAACTTCAATTCTGGTAACGTATGCAGACACCGTGTGTTAAACGATAATTACATATTTGATTAGAAGATTTGTTACGAGGAGGAAAAAATAATTGTAATTATAAGTTGCTAATTGTTACTTTTCATTAATTTGCAGACGACCAGCTTTCCCGTGTTTTTACTATGACGGTTGATTTTGGACTGGGCGACTGCTTAGATATATACGTATATCCTTGCATATTTTACACGAAACGTTCCTATTCCAGTAGAGTGAATATACGCGTGCTAGATGCTGTTTTTACATCGCTTAAAATAAATATTAGTACCTATACTGTTGATAATTCAATGGATCGTATTCAACAGTTTTAATCTGAAAATATTTATATCCGAAACTAATGTAAAAATACCATTAACGTATTATCACATACTTATATGTATTGATCAACGAAATGATCGTTTCAATTTATAGAATAGCAGGCTCGTAACTAAAAGTTAAGCGATTAACCATCACCATCGTGAAATCTCAGTCGGAGCGAGCGTTGGTTACCATCAAGGAACTGGTACGTAGGTTTGTTATCCTCTTTTGGTTCGTCCTACCCGCTTAGTTTTTAACGAACATCATTTCCGGCAGGTAAAATATTATCTTCCGCCGTGGGCCGGCTTGTCACTGTTTTATTGGAAAATCGATTCGGAAAACATCACCATGGGGTGAAGGTAGCAGCGAGATTACCCGGACAGCAGTGAAACGCAAAAGATAAAACGTCGCGACGAATTTTCGGCCGTTGAAAGCCACGACAAGAACCGGCGGAATGACAGGTCATATCTCGTTCTGCTTCTTATTGTTCTTAACGGGCTGCTATGATTGCATACTACTGAGAACAATATCATCGTTCTCAGTGGGCCACGAAGACAATCCTTACTGCCGCATTTGCGCCAATCACACCATGTGCCAATTTCCGGTACGTATTTCCATGAATCGATGAACTTATTTATTAAAGTGACTTGCTGCTTGAGTATTTGTTGCATTTAGAGATATTAATCCTCTGTGCCATATCTGACTCGTTTCGGGAGAATCGTAATTTCTATCATCTTATTGTGATTGTTGATTTGTATGGTTGTTGTGAGATGTTAACCTAATTATCGAGGCGAAGGTTAGTAAATTTCGATATCATGTTATGTTATGACGTTTATTATCTCGATGTTACATTGCATCTTAATGGTATAAACGATGGCAAGTTAGTAATATAATAACATGGCCTTTAATCATAATCGATCATAAAAATAATGAACATCTCCAATTGTTAAGCTGAGGTTTCTTCAATCTCAATGTTATTTTATGTTATTACGTTAGAAGATTTATTGTACCGATCTTATGTCGAATCTTAACGTTGATACTACAAAAATGGCACAAATAACCAATTGGCGATTTTTCATAACAATAAAAATTATGTGGATGAAAATATGAATATGCGTAAAATATGTGGATGAAAGATCCCCTTTTGCCTTGTATCACTGTATTAAGAGGACCAAACAACATGGTACTTTTTATATTTTATCTCGCATTTGCATTTCTCTGGTACTTATAAATCTCATGTTTTAATTGTCGGTAGTTTTAGTGCCGATGGCAGGAATGATGTAAATAACGGTACAACGATACAAATGGTGTAAATTATATCAGGTTAATGATATAAAGACATGAATTTTAATCAATCCATCATAAATTTGAGATAGGAATAAAGTGGAATGTAATTATTGGAGCAGTTAAATCATCTTTATTGCGATACTTTCACATTTACGCAATGCCTATGCTGTTTGTTCTATCGATGAAATTTTTAATTAATGCAGCAAATATTAATCAGTCCGAGCAAACGTGATACAACATGATTTTGTTCATTTAATTAACCGATACAGCGAGTCAGAAAACGCTGAGTAAGATTATTGGTCATTAATCATCCATTGTTTACTCCCCATTGAATCTTCATTAAATCCACAATTTATCAAGTGCGATGTATCGGTAAACTATAAAAATTGTTTAAACGCATGCAAGTGCATAAAGAATGATCAATATTGAACCATAAAACAGAGTACATAATCCATCGTAGATGTTATTATCGCCGAAATCATATGAAATACGTTGCGTAGAGATCCGCGACAGCCCAGAAATACGACTACCGTATTAAAAATTTGGAAAACCATTTAAAGGTTACATGACATTTTGAAGAAGCTGTGTGCGGTTAAAATTTGATTCAAAGAAACGAACGTCTCGTACGTATCGCCCTAATGCAATCTTCTTTACGACAATCTTTTAAACTAAAATACTGTAAAGTAAACTCTATGTTTTATGATATTTCGTTTTAAATAGGGCAACACGTCGATTTATCGTTTAAATCTTCTTCATTTACGCTTTGTCATTAACTCACGAAACGTAATCACACCCTCTTCCAATATCGACTTCCGCTTGTTTTCCGTAAATATCCAACGAAATTCTTGCTTCATCGAGACGCCGCGTTCGCGATGAGCGAACGATACACACGGAAAACGTCACCGCGACGTCGATAATAAATACGAACGCGGTCGAGGTTAGCGAATCGAGAACATAAAAATCCATCGCAAGTGCGAATTTGCGCAACAGGAAATTCGGGACGACGACACCGCTCGTTATTGTCGACCCGGTGTCACGCATACAATGAGTCTATTCTCGGCGCACATTTCCAGGCCGGAGGATCACGCCGTCACCCACGAAGAATAGCGCGAACGCATTCAGACTAAGGTTTTATAGGAAACGTGAATTCTTGAGACGGGCGTTAATTCGCGATGTCAGATACGTGGTATCATCATTCCGCGCCGGATGCACGCCGATGCTGCCTGCTTCTCGTTGATGAGCATGAAAAATACTGAAAAATACTATGAATCGTTGATTTTCTATGACAATGTAGCTTTGTATAACTTTACATTTTTGTAGTATTTTTTAACGCCCCTTTGTGAAAAAATTTCGAAGTGTACTAATTAGCAAATTAATATTATATTGTCTTATGGTTAAATTAAAATACGACCAGGGCTGTTTTGTAGAACTGGAACGATATTATTAGGAAAACTGTACAAGATGCAAGTAACAAATTATCAGTGTTAACGAATATTTTTGCATGATGATGTCACGTCCCGCGCTGCGCACGCGCCGTAATGTAGACTAAAACTACCAATAGCGCGAGTGAGCGTTCCAATTTAAAATTTAAATAAATTTTGACAGTTTGTATAGAAACCAAATTCGAGCCTCACAACCCCCATGGAATAACCTGTCACATGACATGACGCCTCCACGGTAGACCTAAATATAAATAAGCTTAGCGACATAAAAGATAGAGAAATAATTCCTTAGTTCGGAGTAGTTAGTTCCTCAGTTCTTGGTGATTAATTCCTTGGTTCTTGGCGATCAGTTCCCCAATTTTTGGCAAGTAACTTCCTTGTTCATAGCGATTAGTTCTCAATTCCTTTAGCTCTTAATTTCTCAGTTCCTTTGCCTTTCAATTCTTTAGTTCCTTAGCTTTTGAGCTCTTAGTTCCTTTAGCTCTTAGTTTTTTGCTCTCAGTTCTTAAGTTCTTTAGTCCTTTAGTTCTTTAGATTTTAGTTCTTTGTTTCATTAGTTCCCAGTTCTTGTTAGTCTTGTTAATCGATGTGTTTGCATTTGTCAATTTGTAAATTATTGAAAATCAATAAAATTAAAATCTTGTAATTAATAAGAGTGAAAACGTATTGCAAACGATTGTAACTTCGAGTATTCGAAATCTCAACGACAATTCTGTCTGTTACGACCGTTCGCGGAGAGACGCGGTCGCTAAGAAAACGCGTCAGCGAGAGGCGTAAATTCTCGCTACGATTCGGTTAATCGACGTCGCGAATTATTCGTTCCCCTGTTTCGGTTAAAATAACAGAGGTGTTTCAATGAATGTAACACTGTATAGTAAGTTATATATCACCGTTTATTCTAACAACTTGTAAAGAAGACAGTTACGCTGGTGCGTATGTATAAGACGAGTGAGTGACTGATCTACGGGTATATTTCCGGTCAAAGAATGTTGACTGTTCGAAGGATGTAAAATCAATGATGTTCGGAGACGATGCTGTGGCGGAGGAAAGCTAAGGATAGGTGTGTCTAGCGCACGGGACCATCGGATTTGTTGGTGACGATTTTGGCTAAGACAGTGAGGGAAATAGGCTTCGTTGTTAATTGGTTAAACGAAGGTTGGTAGACTAGGAAGGGTCTTAGCCGCCCTCGAGAGAAAGTGATTAGTGCGAGGAAAGTTGCATCATACGCGAGAAAAACTAGCTTCCCCTTACAAGCCGTAGTAAACAATGGTCTTTAGAAATGAGTCGGAAAACAGATGTTTGTTCGGTTTGAAGGGCCTCGACTAGGAAATTCCTGAGATTTATGGAGGGTACTTGAGACTATTGAGGGTACGCAGTAAGTATCCGAAGATATCTGGTTGTCATCTTGCCCGCGGTGTCCTGGTGGCCTGGTCTAGTTAGAGTGTTACGCGACGTAACACTGTCAATATCCAATTAGAATTAGAATAAACATTTGTTGTGAAGAATATTTGTTCAATAATATAATAGGATTAAGCGAACATTTATTTTCACCAACTTTGATCCCCTCCCGTGCCAGTACTCCTGCGCGTAGCAGGTTAGCCGAAACGTGGAGTTTAATTGCCAATCGCATTAAACATCAGACAACACTATAATTTAATCTAAATTAAAAAATTAACGGCAACACAACCAAAACGAACCAAACAAAAACGTAATAATGATATAACAGCTTTGATAATAAAACAATCAAAGTTTTGCAAGGAAATTTTACTTTATTGAAGGGAAGATTATAAAGATGTAATACAGAAGTGTCTAGGTATTAACCCGCAACAAGGGAATTGTTAACGATTAATGATTAAGTAGTAAAGCAATGTTTAAACGTTTCATATATACGATGTTATTGAAAATTGTAAATAAAGTAACTTGTATATTATTTTGCAATTTACAAGTAGTATATACTAGAACAGTAGATGGGTACGTTAATTTCAAAATCAATTACGTTATTATTATAAATAATTGACGTGTTACACATAAAGGAAAGTATGCTAAAGCAAAATGCTTATTTCACATTAGTTTACTTTAAATGATATTAAAGGAGACATCAAGAGAGTCTTCCTCGTAGACAACGAATTAAAAAGCACAAGTTAAATAAAGTACAATATTTTTTTTATGCTTCAACTTCTTCAAAAAACGAACTTATGTCACACAAAAGATTCAATTTCCTTCTAATTGTAATTTTATATGAAGACAATTCAATCTTAACACAACTGTATTATAAAATTTCTATTTCGTGTTCCCTTAAAGTCGATCTTTGTAGATCAATAGGTCTCCGTTTGCCCGTTTCCCGACCTCTCGATTACTCGCCTTAGAATTGTAATTTTAATTAATAACAAAGGATTTCTTACATGAAAATATGATAGACAATTACAGTAATGAGCAAAATTAAATACACGGCCTCTAAAACAGTGTAACTTTTTAAAAATTCGACCAAACGAATTGATTTTTTTTTCTTTTTTGAGAAGTAAGAAGGATCAGTTTACTAGATGACGTGTAAAAAAGTTTTATATAAATCGCGAACTGGCCGGAACTGATAGAAGAAAGTAAAAATCGCTTTTACAACTTTTTTATCTGAGTCTGCAGTAAAGATATAAAGATGAAAGAATTTATAGATTTTAGGCTGAAAGTGACGAAAATTTTGTTTTGGATCGAATTGTGTTTAAACGAAATATTCGTAATATACTCATAATCAAACGTATTGTTTAAAATTTCATGACAGGCTCAGATAAAGATGTTATGAAATGCGAGCTTTACTATTTTCTTCGCGATTCCGCTCAATTGCAATTTTTACAAGGACTTCTTGCGCGTCGACTATTAAACTAATCCTTATAATTCTCAAGAAATAAACTCAAGTCGTTTGATCCCATTTTAAAAAAGTTATTTTATTTTAAAGAGTGTACGTCCAGTTTCGCCCATTATTGTATACGGAAAATGTCATGGAATAAATAATAATTTACATGTAATAAAAAAATAATTTACTTTCGTACTCGATAATTTTCAGTTTTTCGACGTACTTACTTGTTTCCAAATCGATTTTTCACTTTTCTTAAAATCTAATAGCTAATTTATTTCAGTAAAGAACGAGATTAAATGATCGTTACATCGATCGTAAAATTCGCTTTTCGAAAAACGAATTACCATTTCATACGCATATTCAATTATTTCATATGCACGTTCAGAGTAAAGCGCGACAAGGAGTGTCGACGTTGCTCGGCCAGTGCGAAATTTCTACCGGTTTAAATTTATGAAACGAGGAAATAACGATGTCGAGAACGCGATATATCGAAAATAAGCTGGTGGTAAAGGGCGGATACTGCATTAACGATGGCTATCAGTGTGTGCGTGTGAAATTGCGGGCCATGGAATTTCGAATAACGATGCCGCTATTCCTTAACGTTATTTGTACCAATCACGTTAACTCTCTATTTTAGCGTTTGTTGGACTTTTCTCCCCAAAATTCAACCTACATTGGCCATATGCAATTAGAATTACGTATCACGTATATGTATTTGTAAAAATATAAAAGCGATTAATATTTAATATTTATCGTTCGAAGTACTATTATGATACATTTCTGTGAAGGCTCTTAATACCAATGTGCATTCGAATACCATATTTCGCTGTCATGTTTAATATTTTAGTTAGACTGATTTAGGTACATCTCGTACATAAATTACGCTTATGCTCGTACCGTTGAAATCGAGCTTTTGAAATATTGATATATCGGATACAGATTTCAGTTTACGCGCTCATCAATACTTTCTGACCGTTTCCGGTTATGAACGCGTTTGCTAGATAGCATGCAATATATTGTGTAATTAGAGACATTGTTGTAATTGAAAGGAGTGACAAATTTCATTGAATAGCAACTTTTAAGCAAGAAAATATATCAGAAATGTACACGTATCCGGAAATTTGTAATGTAGAAAAAGTAATATAAGTATAAAGTACGACTTTGCGTTCTCCTCGTTTTGCAGAAATTGAAATTAAAGTGTATATATCATTCGAATTAATCCTTCCCAAAGACTTTAACATTTTTGGTGGAAGAAGAAAAGCTCATCAATTTTTATTTTTATTTAAAAGATATACAGTTAAAAAAATATGGGTTAACTCGAACTCTTTAAAACACCTGCGCTTTAAAAGAAAACACTTGCGTCACATGAGCCGTTCGGAAACGTCCTAATTTTACTTAATGAGCATTTTCTCTACGTTTCATCGTTTCAAATCCATAGCCTGAGTTAGTTGCGTGAAACATCCTCTATATGAATGAACAATATGTTATGTATAATAACGTTTTTACGTGAACTTTCGGCCGGTCAATCCAAAAATATAGTAGATCGTATTATTAACGGAAAATTGAAATACGAAATTTATTTACATATTCGTCAAAATGAAAGATTACAAGCTGGACATTTAGAATGGTGAAAACTGATAGCGTGATAGAGGCTTTTTCTCTATTCGCTCGATCAACGTTAATGCTGGAGGTAGGTGAGAAGAAACCTTTCGATTAAATGCCATTAGGTCGATCGCTTTCTGTCGTTATCGCTAATTTCCCTTTAATTCGCGCTTTCGTGGGAGTTTTAAAATTCTCTGTGAAATTTGGCGCCCAATTATTTTCTAAATTCCCCGATGCCGCAACAACCAGCGCGTTATCATTAATTCGTCTTGTTTCGATTTGTTGAAATATCGTCATTACTTTAGAGTGTTTAAGGCGTTAGAGTATTAAATAGCTGTCTTATTTATCATTTCATACATCTAGATACAGAATAGTAATCGTTCAGAATCGAATTAAATTTATTATTTATTAAAAATAAATTTAGTATTTATTGCAATGTACAGAATTGCCTCCTATTTATTAATAATAAATCCTCCACCTGCATTTAAACATATGAAAACTGTTACAGGTACAAATGCACGTATAAATGCAAGCAGGTATAATCGAATAATTTCTGAAAATTATTTATCTATGATCTATAGCATGGCTTGTTAAAATTAGTTCCCAATTTTGCTTCAAGTACCATGTTATCAATGCCATCGTTAGTTCTCTAGCTGAAGGTACTACTTGAGTAACTTCAAATTGCAATCGAATTAAGATTTCATTGCTCTTCAGTTTCCAATAAAAAGTTATGTTTTTTGTTCGTTGCAACATGCAAATGTTCGTTCGAGCAACTGTTTCAGAACCCATTTGCAATCGATGGAATTACGTAAGATAGTGAATTAAAGAAACGTCGCGATATCGTTTCCGTAACGATACTTTTACGATATCACACGATTGCGTTAAATAGAATGCTTTATTGGAAAAATATTTTAGTAGCAGTATCAGATCAAACTTTTCGACACGACAAGAAGTCGCCGTTATATTTAAAATTTCTATTTCTCCAGAAAATAATTATGTAGAAAATTCTTAGAACAATTTTTTACGTCGATCTTGAAACTTTTTGAATTACTCACTTTTTCTGAATCGACGGTTAATCTCTTTTTCTATATTATATTCTGTTTTTTTTTTTTTTTCTTTATTACTTAAAGTAGAAATGTATTGCAGAATATAGAATGTATAGACTATAGAATTTTATATATTGTCCGTACAAAAATATGAAAGAATATATACGTATATACTTGATGAATTAATTTAGCTAGGATACCACACATGTATGTATTTTACGCGCATAAAACAACCAAACAAAGAACGCGTAGAACGAAAATTAAGACTGACAGAGTGAATTTCATAGCCTGCTTCTAAAAAATAGAATACCCCTGTGGGCCTGTGATAGACATAAAAAAATGCTTCTTCCCCTGCTATACATCAAAGCGAATTCGATGAAGCATCACGTCAAAGCTCTGCCTAAAGAAAGTATATGCTTCGAGTACCCTCCCACTAAATTCGATAGCACTTCGTATGAAAAGCTTAAAGAGGCTATTTTTATTGAGTACGAAATTCGCAAGTCGATAGCGCCAGTTCGAAGGAACTATGAATCCATATAAAAAGAAGGCTATTGACATTTTAATTTTATTCCAACTATTCGACCCAAACCAAATACATTTATGTATCCCTGATAATAATTGACCGTACCAATTGATAAATTTTTGTGTACGTTTCAGAAATTTTAATATGGAAAATGGAAATAGATCTTTTAACATTATATCAAGTAATAGAAATCGTATTTTAAAACCGTAATCTTCGTGAGAGTAACCATACGTATAATAAATCATCAATGTACCTAAAATGTAGTAATATGATAGAGTCTTCATACAATATGTATGATATCTGCACTATTCTTGTACTATTGCTACACCAGTTATAGAAATTTCGGTTCATAATTTGCGTTTATTAATACAAACATCCAAGAGGTATAACTAATCGGGCTTTCAAATGACAATTTCAATTAGATTGTATAAAAGCTATTTGAAACGAACAAGAAGATTAAAGCAGCGATTCAATTAACAATATCTCGTTTGTTTGTCAAACTTAAAAGACGTTCGAATGACGTAAAATTGTTAAAGACAAAGCAACAAGAAACAAAGATATTGGAAAAAATATGATTGTAAGAAATAATGAAAGAAATGATCAAAGAGAATAACTATTCCTTTCCTTTTATTAAACAGAAAATTCTACTTTCTTAATATTAAGTTAATAGTAAAACATCTAATGTCCTATCGTAAATCAAAAGTTCGATATATAATTTTCACAGCACGACACGGATGGCACCAGATGCGTGAACCTTCAGCATACTGATCTGAACGAGAAGGATATCGAGACCATACTCGACTGGCACAACGTTTATCGCAACACTGTGGCGAACGGGGACGAAGAGCGAGGAAATCCGGGCCCTCAACGTCCAGCAAAGTTCATGATGGAGCTGGTAAGATTTAGTTTGGTCCGACAAGGCATAATATATGTGGCTATAAAAAAATAAGGGATAAGGTTGGGCCATGGTGACGACTGGCATGAACAACATTCAGGTGTTGGATGGCAACTGTAAAGAAATTTCAACCCCCTCTATAGTAGAAAAATTCCCAACTAGTCCCTTTCGACTGTTTTATTTCATAAATCTGTTCATAAACCAAAGTATATTCCACTTCGATACGCGTAAACCCAATGTAACTTATAAACTCGAGTTATAAAAACTTTATATTACAACACAAATAAAAACTGTCAATTAAACGAAAGAACAGTGAATAGCTGCCGTGGGAGAACTTTAGTCCCCCTAATACTTGATTTTCGATCGGTTTCTAAATATGCAAGTGCTATATAAAAGTCAAAAATGGTATCTCATATTTTTGTCTTCTCTTTAAATTAATTTGAGCTTCATAATTATGAGTTCAGTTATGGATATTTTATCTGTGGTCTAGAAAATGGATGTATCTGTGTTTCATCACAATTAGATTTTTATGTAAATTCGTATTTTTATAAACCTAATTAAACAAATGGAATCTAAGTAGAAATCCACTGAATATCATAATAAGTACTATACGTGGAATATTTCGAATATTTTCGTATGTCGGAGATAAGAGGCCACCGGTGCCTTCCCTCTGAAACCTCGGGAAAATCCATGAAAACATTGCAATTAAAACCTACAGTTGTAATTAAACGGTTTGCCGTCATTCTACCCAATTGTATTTGTTTAAGACTTGTGACAATGAGCTTGGGCTCAAGGCGACAATTAGTCGCCGAACGTAGCCGCGGTCAACGGGACGAACTCTCCATCTAACAAAGGCATTGAGTAACCCTATAGCTCTCCTTA